TCTTGTTACGTGTAATTTTAGGATCGACACTTGCACCGACTGCCGTTAAAATATCTTCTTAAAAGCACACTGGGCCACATTAACCCTATTCAAAGCACGTAAAATATATGTAAATGGACTAATAAAATTGTATTTATCCGATGTATGCTGAATGAACGGAACACGTTGACCGGCTTATTTCGATCTATTTTGTTCTTGCGATTTGCTAAACGCAATCATACGAATTCATCGCTTGACAAGCTTAACCCTAATTCGAACCGCATATCTCTTTTAGGGATCAACTTGGGAAGCCATCCATCGGCGGACAATAATTTCTTTTCGTCGTTCATCATGCTCATCGTTAATTATAACCACGCGTCACATTGTGTTATTCGCGTAGCCTGCCAATCGACTTCGTTTCGGACTGATTAATTGGTGATTATAAATTAATTGGAAACTAATTGTATTCTGCATTTGCGCCTATCATCTCGTTTCTTTTCTTTTCTTTTCTTTTCTTTGAAGTACTAACTTTCTAAGTTTGGAAAAAAATTAAATTTTTTTTCCTTTTTAAATATTAATAATGTTACAATCATTTGTAATAGATACATGTGGTACACGTATTAGCATAGGAGAGAAGATTTTGGCAGTAGATAACAAACTGCAGTTGTGTAATTGCGTTTAATGGGCCGATGGTACAAAGATATATTTTCCTATTCTAATATATTTTTCTTTCGAACAATTGCTTTTTTTATATCATATCGGTCGTTTTCAAAAAATTTCCGCGATTTTCGAATATAAATTTCTCAAAATTGTTATTGAAATCCATCGGATTATAGGATATTCGAAGTCGTAATGTTGATACTCAAAGTTATTGACGATCATAAAAGCTTATTAAGATCGTGATTGTATTGATGTTCAATGTCATTTGAAAGGCATAAAGTTATTCGGGATCATACTCGTGTTCCCTCATCGAGATTTTATTTTAATTATTTCGATCAAAATGATTCGATAAAATTTTATAAAAGAAATTATTGTGTTATTTGAAATGATTTGAAAATTAGAGATACTTGTATTTATTTTGATTGATTATATTAATCTAACTAGAAAATTTATTCGTCGTAAGAAGAATCAGCGGAATGATATTTTGCCAGATGAGCAACATTCGCTTCTCTTTTTAGATTTTCTTTCCACGTACAGAAATCCCTGTGTTATTTTCCATACAAAAATAGTGCATGACTACAAATGTAATCGCAAATGGTAAGCTAAACTACGTTTTCCTTATCCAAAGTTATCGTAAAATGGTCGAATTTTTTTTTTTTTTTCGTAAGTAACGTTTTAAAAATTCACAAGGCCGTGTTAACTGGTCGCGTTACATCATCGTTTTCGAAAAATGGCATTAAACAAATGTAGCACAGTTATGATAAGACGAAATATATATATATGAATATTCGAACCAAACTTGACTAATATTTTTACATTTTCGCCAAACAGATAAACAATTGGCTTCGTTGTATATTAACTGGAACTAAATTTAAATACTTACGCATGTGGCCAAGGAAATCGCGAAGAAGCGAAAACGTGAAAACCGATCTCTACCCGTTAACTTTCTAAAAAATAAATCTTTAGTCGATATCGAAAGTTGAGTAAAGATTTTTGCTTGGCATAATTTCGTTCAGAGCCTCTTCACTTATCTCTTCATTTTATATCTTCTTTAATCGATAAACGAAGTTGGAAAGGGGGACGAAGGGGAAAAAATTTAATTTTCCGCGAGTATGCTTATCGCGTCGAAAGTAAATTAATCGATCCGATCAGAAATATCGGCTGTCAGATAGAAATTGGATTATTTTTATATATATATATAATATTATTATTAAACAATAATATATTATTATAATCTTGTATCATTACATAATCTCTATTATTTTCAATTATATTTATTTAAATTCAATGAACCTTGATATTAATATACTTTATCGTGTATCAGTTTCCATGTAGGATTTTATACACGACAACAATGTCTGTTCTTTCACGTAAATTTGAAATATTTTTCGCTACTAGTGAATCGAAGTAATTTAAATTAATTTTTAATTTCAAGAAAAATAAAAAATAATAGTTCTCGATACAGGCATCGAAGAAGCAAGAAAAGATCGAAGAGATCTTGACTGGAGCATCCTCGCTGGTGTTATTTAATCCTTCGAACGAAAAGAAAAAAAAATAAAAAATGATTTATACGTTTTGGATCAGAACCAGAGCTCATGGTCTTCACGTGAAAATCCATTGACGCATGCTTTTCGCGCTTGGCCGAGAGGTTGGAGGAATACACATTTCCACACTTAGTAACCAGTCTTTCTGTTTGCTTGTGGCCTTCGTGTAAACTAAGATGCCATTCGTGAAAGAGAACGCGATTGAGATTTGCAAGGATAAAAGGATATCGAGATTAATACCTCGCGGTAATTCGGTGTCAAGGCTGACCTGTTCGTAATTTGGTTCGATTTAAACGATTTAAATGGCTTTTTATAGGTCTCTGTAACGATCTTTATTATTTGGAAAACTTACTCATGGACCAAAACTGAATTGGTTGAATCGTAGGCGGAGTAGATACGTTGGAAGTTCAATCTTGTTTTATCACGCTTTATTATTATTGTGACAAAGATTTATGCTTCGAATGTGTAAATCATCTTGCGTTGCTTCTTCTTATTAGCTTCAGAGATTTTTATGATTTATTTCAAACAATTAATTCTAAATAAAATTCTAATTGATATATGAAAAATTTCTTTTTCATTTTTTATTATAAAATGTACCATTACCATGTTATCTCTAAAGTATAAAAATTTTCTCCATTATCTTTATAAAAGTTAGATAATTTTTTTATTTATATTCTTGTTATTGTATATCAAATTGTTATCTGAAAGAGAACGCGATTGAGATTTGCAAGGATAAAAGGATATCGAGATTAATACCTCGCGGTAATTCGGTGTCAAGGCTGACCTGTTCGTAATTTGGTTCGATTTAAACGATTTAAATGGCTTTTTATAGGTCTCTGTAACGATCTTTATTATTTGGAAAACTTACTCATGGACCAAAACTGAATTGGTTGAATCGTAGGCGGAGTAGATACGTTGGAAGTTCAATCTTGTTTTATCACGCTTTATTATTATTGTGACAAAGATTTATGCTTCGAATGTGTAAATCATCTTGCGTTGCTTCTTCTTATTAGCTTCAGAGATTTTTATGATTTATTTCAAACAATTAATTCTAAATAAAATTCTAATTGATATATGAAAAATTTCTTTTTCATTTTTTATTATAAAATGTACCATTACCATGTTATCTCTAAAGTATAAAAATTTTCTCCATTATCTTTATAAAAGTTAGATAATTTTTTTATTTATATTCTTGTTATTGTATATCAAATTGTTATCTAAAAAAAAAAGAAAAAAAAAAAGACGATAGATTGAGTGGAGGATCAAGACTCCAGTCTCGAATCAATAATTTTGTACTCGATCAAAAGTGGAAGTTATCGCGAGAAATATATAAAGGCGGTCGAGATGAATTTTAAAAAGGTTTTTCTTACAAGAAGGAGATTTGCATGCGGTAGAGGCAAATGCCGATAGAGTAATTTTAGTTGGATCAAAAGGGTTATCGGTCTGAAACGACGGTGGAGTCGTAAAGGTCTCATTTGGCGTTTATCGGTTCATAGAAGTTAGGTTCTAAATTCCTGTGCAAACGATCATGTGAAAGTCGGAATATTATTTCTGAAATTTTTCCACTCGTCTCACTTTTACGAGATATTATCAGGAATTATTTTTAGCTCCGACTCGTGCCGATTTTACAGTGATAATAAGAGAAATTTTTGTAATTGTAGATCTTTATCGATCGCTTTAATCTCAAATTATCGGGACAAAGTAATTGTTACACATTATCTGTGTGAAAATCAAGAATGGTTTTATTTTATCATTCCTTGAGCTATTTCTCACAAAATCGTATTATTAAAATGTTAAAATATTCTTAAAATTTGGGGGGAAAAAAAATATTGTTAATACGATTATAATGTTAAAATTAAAGAATTGGAATAAAATAGATGTAAATAGATAGCAAGATTCGTGAAGGAGGATCGATATTATTTCTTATCGCATTCATACAACGATTATCATTGTCATATCCCTCATAACATTCTCTGTAATTATAAGTAGATACTTATCTATAACTACAAGAATATAACAGAGCATAGGTATATGATTGTACGATGCACAATCATGCATGAAAGCACAGTCATTTTACGAAGGAATTTTTTTCTTGAAACGATTGTAAAAAAAAAAAAGGAATAAAGAAATATTTGAAATATTTGAGAAAATACAATGAAAAATTATATATTTTTTTTTAAAAACTAGATTGAAAAAGATAAGATTCGTATTTATTTCGAAAATTTTATTGCAGATTTTCAAGTTGTTATAAGTATTTATGACAATATACTTATAGAAGTACTTACAAACTTGTTTAATTGTTTGTTTTTTATTTTTATGTTTGTTATTTCAATGACTTTTTAAATTTTTATGTAATAATAATAATAATAATAACCTTTTTTATAAATATCTCGAAATAAATAACTCGAAATCAAAGAAGAAATGTTTTTTCCGCGATTTCATCATTTTATTATATGAGAAAATACGTAAGATTTTTTATTAAATAAGATCTATGTTATCTGTTAATTTTTATCTGATCAAATTTTATGACGGTTAACCACGTGTGTAATTTACTCATTGTTATTCTACTTATCTTAAAAAAATTAGATCGGTCAGATTAGTAAATCAGATAATTTTTAAAGAGTAATTTAATAAAAGGATTAAAAGCAACATTTCATATCTTAGAAATTATGACAAATTTGTAAAAAATTTAATCGTTAACCATTGTAATATAATTTCCTATGAAAATTTTTATTATTTTGTACAATTCTGTACATCATAAATTCCAATTTTTACAATTCTACATTCGATGCTAAACATTTCATTTATTATCTTCGATCGAACAACATAAAACATCGTCTATTTTTATGTCACTCGATCGCAACCATCGAATTATCTGCGCAGAACTTATCATTTTATTCGATACGTAAAACCAAAGATCCGCCTACAAGAAGTCCTCCTCTTATCGGTCGGCGCCACCCACGGCTCAGCTTTTCTTCCTTCGCCGTCATTTTACGCTTCGTCATGAATGGAAAGAATCTTTCGAAATGTAAATAATAGAAAAAGGGAAAAAGAGAAAAGAAAAAAAAAAAAAGAAACCAATCATCAATTTTTGTATGCAGTCGTTAGCACGTTTTCAAAAGATAAATCCGCAATTAATTGCAACTCGCGTTTCCAATTGTTTACAATCTCTTGACGCGGAGTTAATTAAAATGGGAATCATTATCAGATAATCGTGCAATCTTCGAATAATTTCCGGATGAATTTATCGTGTCAGCCGATTAATGTTGGAAGCCATAAATTAGCGAAGCGTTAAAATCGTTTACCGGAAAGTGGTAAAAAATTATAAAGGGAATTTGATCCAACTTCTTTCTTTTTATTCTTCCATCTTTCATCCTTTTTGTTTTTTCTGTTGCAACATTTTTTGTGTTTTAATTTTTAATCTTTTCGTTGTGTACACGTACGATCAATTTCAAGTTCATTTTATGAGTTTTATTTTAAATTTAAATTTTTTCCAATCAACAAACAATTAATGTAAAATAAATATGATCCTCAATTATGATATTTCGAAATAGATAATTACAAAATTTTACGCTGTAAAATGAGATAATAAATATTTTTCATAAAATATACCGAGCATTCGGATAACTTTTAAGATCTCAACAATCTTTCCAAGCTTTTCGCGTTATGATAATAATCGTTAACGTTTCCCTCCCTCGTCATCGTGAGGCTATTATCAGCGGAATGTCTCTGCACTTTCCGCAAACTTCCTGCCCGGATATCTGGTCGGCCTCGCCCATTTCAGGATTTCAACGAAGGTTGAAATCGCTTTTAAAGCGAGCCACGTCAACACGTATCCTTAACACGATAACCTTTCACTCCACAAGCGCGATGATAACTAAAAGTAGAACGTTATACTGTGTATCGTTCGGCGGCAACGATCCGGTTTAAACGCGGGATCTTCGAATGTGTTATCGAGCGCCACGTATACATACATATACAATTCATATCGTTCAATTTTTGCTTATTAAAAATCAGCAACTTACGAATTTTCCTTCAGCGAAATCGTTTTAAATGAGACTCGTTGATAAAGAGAATTCTCGATAATATCTCGTTGGCTAGAAGAAAATATTGCTACAGTGAATACAGTCCATGATTTGGAATTCAACGTGGAAGATTGTCTATAAATAATCTGGTTCATCTGCATTTAGATTGATACCTATCGTTCCTCGTGGCGCCATTAAATTGTCCAACTGTTGAGCGGATTTCATCGCGTTGAGAACCGAGAGTCGGTTAGAAAATCTCGCAATATCGCTTCGGAGTTTCTGAAAGATAAAAATGTAATATTAATAACACGGAGGAAAATAAGCGATATTTTAAACGTTCGAGTCTACATATTGAATACGAAAACAACAAAGATGCATTGGGTATCGTAATCGTGAAACGCAAATCTTGAAACAAACAATCTTGTATGCTTCTCGTTTCTTATTTATTCGTGTATTTATAATTTGCATAAAATTATAAAAGGAAAAGAACATCTTACTTCAAACTGTTCAAGCGGCTTTATCATTGCAAATCAAAAATGAATTTTCATTTTCGATTCGAGAAAAGAAGAATCTCGACACAATTTTACGATCTTCTCCCTCTTCAATTCAATCGTACTTAATCGTTCGCGTTCTTATATAATCTAATCGTTGCTCAGAAAATTCCATATCATTTTCGTTCTATTATCTTTCATCTTGGAATACGTTGAAAAGAGACGATCAAAACTTATATATATTTTTAAATAAAAAATATTCATGGAATTTTTCAATTTTTCCACGGGACACATGTGTTCGACATGTGGTGGACGACGAGCAATTGCGATGATAGTTCTGCGTCTTCTGTTCGCAGGATGGTATTGGACCCCAAGGTCACGAGTCTGCACAGTGATTACGGAAGCTTCGATCGACCATTGGGCGCCGGAGAGGGCCACGAGAGGGACGTCGAGGCGGCGGTTGATGGAAGTAGCAACGGTATGGCACAGTCGAGCGACGTTTATCAACGGCAGCCGTTATTACCTGGTGCACCGACCAAGGGTAAGGATAAGTGGTCCGGCGTGGCATCCGGCTCCGACTATTACGTGGACGACGAAGATGAGAAGATCGACAGTCTTGGCCGGCATCCTGGCATACCGAATGGCTCAGGGAACGGTGTCGTTAAACTCGACATACCTGCACCTCTTCGAGAAGAACCTCGTTTTCCTAAAGAGAAATGGAAAACGTTCCTTGGTAAGGACTCTTTCTTCCGTATCGAGATATGAATTTTTTTTTCCCCCGCTCGAGCCGATTGTTTGTCCACAATTTGCCATTTGGGGGAGGAGGAGGAGGTTGTGCGCGTAGATCGTCTGACGTCATGTTTTACGCTAGGGAGTAGTAAAAAGGCGAGACTGCCAATCTATATCGCGCCAGAAATTCCCTCTCGAGGGAATGACGTCATATTATTCGCACTCCCACTCTACACCCACGTCGTGTCTAACCATAAGCGACGTAATCATTTGTCTATAGTATGAGTCAAACAAGTCGTCGAGTATGTCAATTTCCCTTCAAAAAAGGAATTTTATTATTCTCTATTATTATTGTAATACGCGTTCTACAACAATCTTGATAAAAAGTCTCACGGGATTTATAGCATGACAGTTTTTGTGAACGTATTAAATAGTTCAAAAAAATTTCTTACAAATACAGTTAATCATTTCAAAGGAAAAAAAAAAAAAAAAATGCTTTTTCTAAGGAGTTTATTGTTAATTATTATATAATTGTTATATCGAAATTCTTTGTAATGATCACAAGATTATCAAAGATTATTATTCTATTAATTTCGAGAGATTGAAATCGAAGATTATTTTATACAAAATAATTGTTATACGGAAACGAAAGAAAAAAAGAAAACATTGCGTTGTGAACATTGCGTTTGAATTCGTCGTGATATTGAATTGGACGAAATTCTGATTAGATATGTTGTTATTAATTTGAAAAAAGTCATGATAAGAATTTAATTTAATTAAGATAACACGAGAAAGAAGATGTATTCCTCGTGTAACTTCGTTGATCTCTTTAGGGCCAAGCTTCTCTCGTACACGCGTTCCATTCACACGAACGGGGTGTCCATCGAAATCGAGATCGAGGTCGCTACGTGGCCTGGTATTTCGATGCAGATCTGGCCGATCTAATAACGAGGTGCGCTTGATGTGTTCTTGAACGATAAATCCAAAATGACGGAGTCATTAAAACCGACAGCACCTGTTAAGCTGATTCTGTTTCAAAACTAGACTTGTTGCGTGACAAAGTTCTCCGTTTTGTATCGTGCATTTGAACGCGCTTATTGTTCTTGCAAACGTGTCTCATTTCAGTTGTTATCAGTGACAACTTAAATAATAATTTGCCTTTTGTTTTTTTTACAAGATAAGATATGAACGTTATGCTATAATCTTACATTTACTGTGTTAAGTTTCTGCGTAGAATTTTAGAAACGAAATTTTATTCGATTAATGATAATTCAATCGATGTATTTTCCACGTGGGAAAAGTTTCCGTTTGATTTGATCAATGACAATTGAAATATACATTTTAATGCGTCACCCGATATGTTAATGAACGACGTTAATTCTTTTGTTGTCATATTCTTAGACTCGGGCAACCGAAAGAAACGAATTGTTCTATGAATGTTTGCGGATGTAGGTTTGAAGGTGGAAAAGTTTTTCTCTTGTTGGTTGAAAGCCAGAACAACTGAATTTTGGCATGATGCCATTTCCTGAAGAATGTGTATTATCGTGGTAGCAGCTTTTGTGGTTGCAGCTTATAATATACAGAGTGGTCTTAAGATAAACGGCGATGGATTGTAATTCATTAATTGTAATAATTTGAAAATCTAAAATATATATTCTTTTATGATCAATATAAATTTTAATGGCGTTAAATTTAAAGTAAAGAGAATTTTATTTGTCAGATGACTCATCAATGTGGAAGTCTTTAATGAACGAATAATAATTTCTCACTTTTAAATTATCATAATGTTCTCTTATGTAAGAACGCTGAACTTATTTACTTTATTTACTCATCTAAAAGACGAAAGAAAAAAATATATGCTATGAAATACACAATATATACATAAATAAATTGACATAATGAATCGAGATTAATAAATAAGAAGATATAAGATTTATTTTTTTATTTCAAATTTAAATATGTATTTAGTATGTATCTGGTAGATATGCGCTCCTGGTATATGCGTTTTACTTTTGAAATATATATTGTTGTGCATTGTATCAAAGCGAAAGGGAATATTCTGTAAAAAAGGAACGGCAAACAGAGAGAAGGAAAGTGGGTACGAGCAAGAGAGAAAGAGAAACGGAGGAGAGGCCGCCGAGTTGTTAGAAATTTCGGAACAAAGGAAGCATAGCCGTGCAAACTGGACTACTAACTCCGTTTCTATGTTCACCGACGGAGAAGACTATAAAATGCACCAACGGCGACTGTTACCTCTGTATTCTATCGTGCACGCGCGATATTTGACTAAACTGCGGTGACCCGCATGCTTGAATCACTAGTTTATTTTCAGCCGATTGATGCATGTTAGCTGCCATTGTTCGAAGGCAAATAAATGATACATTGTACGATTTCCTCGAATTTTAATTAAATTAAATGAATTATTTAATCAAATTAAATTAAATCGTGGTTTAAATTGTGAAATAAGATTGAGAAATTCAAAGAAAAAAAAAAAATTTATTTTAATTGAAAAAAGATATATGTATTTTTAAATTTTAATTTTCATTTCTGATATAATATTTGTTTTTAGGGCAAGTTTAACGAATTCTAATTAAGAACATATAAAGAAATATTATAAATATTTAATTATAAAATAAAGAATATGATTTATTTATAAGACTGTATAAGAGTGTTCTTTTATGAATTTGTCTTTATTTGAAATATTTGAAATTTCTTTTCGTTCCGATACTGAAGATATGATTTATGTTGCAGCATTTCTATTCATGGTCGTGAACTTCATATTAACCACCGCGTCCCTCGCAATGGTGCACGAACGGGTTCCGGATCGAAATACATACGGACCGCTCCCGGATGTTGTGTTAGACAATATTGCCGCTCAGGATTGGGCCCTTAACGTGTCGGAAGTTTTGATTATGATATTGTCAAATTCAGCGATGGTTTTTATTATTTTTCATAAACATAGGTGCGTAGTATTGTATACGAATATGTATGTAAATTTTTACGTATAAAAATTGGAATTTTTGCTCGACAGGTTTGGATCAGATGTAAAAAACAAGTAACATTAGTATTAATACAGCGTAAAAAAAATTTACAAGACAATCAATTTTGCCACTTCTTCAAATTCTTAAATCATCAAATTTGAGCTAACGAGATAGAATTTTTGGTCATTATTGTAGGTAATGTTTGTATCTGCTTGTTATTTTACAAAATATGTTGATTTTTCTAGGTTTATCGTTGTTAGACGGATATTTCTTTTGATGGGATTGCTGTACTTGATGAGAAGTATCACGATGTACGTGACAGTACTGCCTGTTGCCAGTAAAACATATTACTGCAGCCCAAAAGCAAACAATACCAGTCCTTTACTCGTTACAAAAAGGGTTTTGCAACTCATTTCTGGCTTTGGCTTGTCCATAAACGGCAAGCATACTTATTGCGGAGATTACATTTACAGCGGTCATACAGTCGTGCTTGTACTTAGTTACCTGATTATCAAAGAGTGTAAGTATTTTTTCTATGATATATATCCTAGCTAGAATAATATATAAATGTTCGTGACGCGATGTTATTTGTTTGCGAAAAGTATAAAAGTGAAAAAATCGAACAATTAAAAGAAAATGAATATTTAAAAAAATATAGATTCTCCGAGAAGATGTCAACCGATACATTGGCTAGCGGGGATTATTGTTCTTATTGGGGTAATTATGGTCCTGGTAGCTCACGGACATTATACCGTAGATGTCTTTATAGCATACTATGTAACTACACGCTTATGGTATATCTATCATACGTTAGCTAATAATTCACATCTTAAGGTAAGTTGAACCTTTTTTTTTTATTCAATGCTTTGTCTTAAAAATTGATACTATATTATAAAAAAATACATAATACATAATAAGGGGAATATATATATATATATATTTTGAATATAAAGTAGACTGAACATGGATATTGAATATGTTGAAATAAAATTGCAGCAATACGAACCAAACAACTTTTTGGCCCGACTCTGGTGGTTTCCTATCTTTAAATATTTTGAGAAAAACGTGGGCGGCACGGTGCCACGACAATACGACTGGCCTTTACCCTGGCCTCGACGATTCCTTGCCAAGCACCCTAATCGGGACAGTTAATGTCTGTCTCTGATTTCATGATAGAGGCTGTCAAACAACGGAGTTACTTTATTGTAATTTATGTATATATATATATATATATATAACATATATGTATACGTACCTAGGCATATGAAAATGTGAAGATAAAGCTTTACTAGAAAGTGGTGCGAG